GCCGTTGGAAAAGGTTTATTTGTTTCATATAAAATACAAATGAAAGGAAAATTTGTAGCACTAGATTAGAATTAATAAGTAACTTACATAAATATTTTACTGTGTAAAGGCCACGCAACAGAATCTGTGCACGATTGAGCAGGCTCGTCCTTTATGGTGTGAAATGTAAGTATTATCCTTTGCATCTCTCTACTGAGTAAGATAACCGAAGTCCACTTTTTTAAAGGTTGGTAACGAATCTGCAATTCCTCAAGTGTTGTAGATAGGTATACATAAGATCAAGGCCTTTTCGTACGCCCGCCTTTTCACATAACAACAATAACAATTACCCTGACTACCATTTGCAAATATTTGGGTACAATTTCTTTGCATACCTATCTTATGCAAGTTCATGAACAAATCAAAAGTAAACAACTTTTTATAAACTAATAGTTAGAATGAAAAATTACGTATAGGTCTTCAAAACTATATAATTTTGTATTATCTTATTAATAATTTATGCATTTTGTCTTGTCAGTAATATATTCAGTTGAATCGTAAAATAGTATAAAAGTAAAATAAAAAAAAATGGTTTGTTTCAGGTTCTCTCACTCGACGTCTTGCTAAAGAATTTTGCTCGAATATACAATTAGCTGTACTGCATACGACCGCAACCCATCACTTTGCAGATCATTATAAATACGTGCCCAGAAAAAAGTTTGACGATATGATACTCGCTGGCGAGTTCTTGACTTATACCGAAAAGGACGGTGAATCGTACGGACTAAGTGTGTTTAATACTTTTTTCCCTTTACACGTCACTCTAATAATAAACAAACTTTTTATGTGTATCGTAATTTGTAGGTGCATATAAGTTCACATTCATATATAGCCCGCTTTTTGTAAAAAATAAAATAATGATAAGATGACACACAGGGCAGAGGCAGAAGATATCTTGGAGTCCCGCTCAGAACTCATACCCACTATAAAACTCATGATGTATTTGTATTTTTTGTGGAAGGGCTTGGGTAGTAACTGCCAACGACCACTGCGATCTAGAAATATTTCTTGTAGTTTTCCCTTCGAAAACATTGCCCCCTTACTGTAGGATAGCCTTTTCCTGTGTGGTAAAGACGTAACGGGTATCCACCGGCAGATTTTACGTTTTACACTTTGCATCGAGCTCGCAGCGTGCAGCAAGGCGGTCGCGGGGGGTGCGGGGTATCGTTCGACGCGGGAGTGTTGCGGGTTGTTTAATAGCGATGAGTCAGTGGACGAGAGCACATCGCGCCTTCGCTGTCGAGGCCTATTTTGCGAACAACAATTCGATCAATGTGGCGAGGCGTTCTTTTAATTCTCACTTTGGTATCCGCCGATTAAAGGATGGTCCGTCGAATCAACTGATATGGGCGTGGGTCAAGAAGTTCAGAGAAACTGGATCAGTCATAAATGAGCCTCGGCCTGGACCTTCAATGTCTGTAACTACGCCTGAAAACATAGAGCTTGTGAGAAGGGAAATTTTACGAAATCCTCGCAAATTTATCCGCGAAGATTGCAGCTGCAACAGGTGTGAAAAAGACGTCAGTTCACAAAATAATTCGAAAAAAGATAAAGTTCCATCCATACAAGCTTCAAATTATCCAGCAATTAAAAGAAGATAACTACATTAAGAGGCAGACATACGCAAGAGTATTTTTGAAACGATTTTCTACGCCTACGCGTATGTTTAACATCTTTTTAGTGACGAGGCGCATTTTCATCTTGGATGGTATTTCAATAAACAGAACATGCGATATTGGAGTGAGAGCAACCCAAATGAAGTCCATCAAAAACCTCTTCACATCCCGAAGACCACGGTTTGGTGCGCCATTTCCGGAAATGGCATAATAGGCCCTTATTTTTTTAACAGAGGTGAAATTGTTACCGCAGAGCGGTACCTCGCTATGTTGGATATTTTTTTATACCCGAGCTGCATCGTCACGCTGGTTACAATAACAGAACTCACTTTCAGCAAGATGGGGCCACAGCACACACCGCCATACATGGTTAAAGTGACAGAGCTTTTTCCTGGAAAATGAATAACTCGATTAGGCGACGTAGCCTGGCTCCCTAGATCTCCATATCTGACCCCTTGCGACTTTTTCCTCTGGGGATATCTCAAGTCTCGCGTTTACAATAATTCTCCATCAACAATAAACGCCTTAGAAGAAAATATCCGCCGCGAAATTCAGGCTATCAGTCCAGCACTTTGCAAAAGAGTTTTCACCAATATGAAGGAAAGACTGCAAGAATGTTTCTAGAAGGACGTCATTTGAGTGGAGTAATTTTTTAGAAGTGATTTCCGCACTATCCTTTTGTAAGAAAAAAAATAAAAAAATTAGGTTATGTAAATTATTTTATTTTATTTTATAAAGTGTAAAAACGCTGAAGCCAATACCTTGGCAACCGGCCACGAAGTCATCAAGTACGTTATTATATTTACATAGAGTTACTACAAGTGTCTCATTCTTATTGGCTATGGCTGGGAAAGCGTAGCATCTATGGTCAATTAGTAAAATAGAAAAAAGAAGCAACTGAAAATACAAAACTATTCTGTACAAATACCAATTTGTAAATGTTTTCTTTTTGTTATTTACTGGATAATACATAGGTGTAATGGTGAACCACATTCTTACTGCTAATGACTTTCTAGGTGTTCGTCCACGTGAAATTTATGAATGTAAAATGTTTATAGTAAGGCGATGTTTAAAAAAATATGTTTGAGTTCTTCCATAGTGTGTCCATCACGATAAAACTACTGGTCAACTTTTTTTATGTGAAAAGTTGCCAAACGAGCAGACGGTTCATATGATGTTAAGTGAATACCGCCACCCATGGACATCTGCTACACCCGAGGGTTTGCAGATGCGTTGACAACCTTTTTGGAAATTGGGCTCCGGCTACCTAACTCACCAGATGAAACGGGAAAGTGTTATACTTCCACTTTACGCCGATCTTCTGTGAGGTCGTGGTACTTACCCGGACGAGCCTGCCCATTCATGCAACAGCCGAGGCTGCTGCGTGGCCCTACCACCGTAAAAGATATTCCATAGAGACTTAGCACTTATCTTAAATTTTAAGGGAAATTATTATATATAAATACCTGTAGGAACATCATTATTGTGATATCTTCAAAAAAATAATAGTGCGTGGAGTCCCTCCGCGCGGAAGAAGTGAAACTTCGAGTGCCACGCATTCACTCTCACTCTGTCTCTTTCTATTCCCCCTCCCTAGGAGTATTAAGCGTTTAACGCAAACTTGTTGGAAGTCGCATTAGAAGTTTCATTTCAACAAAAAAATAATCTAAGAATTACATGTTAGATGATGTGTGTTGTCGAAATTTCGTAAGCAAAGTATATTTTCGCTACCCATCTTAGATGTTTTTTCATCTTCCCTTAAAATAAAATACAATAAGCAACTCGAGAGTAAGTCGCGAATACTAGCTTGTGCAATATAATAACTATTAAAATTAAACATACTGTAAAACATTAAAGGTCGTGAAGAAGCTTATGTATCAGATGGAAAAGTTCGCCTAGCTACGATGGATTTAATCGGTGCACTAATGCTCAAACTCAGAGGTCGGCGACCCTACTTAATATTAGCATCATGCTCCGATAAATCAACACTGTTCAAGAATCAACAAAAAAGAAAAGAGTATAACAATTTTATTTAGATATATTCAAAAATTTTTGTTAAATATTTACTTTGAAATATTAATACTTACCCTATTATATGATTTATTTCAATTTCCACAGAGCACATAAAATGGCCAACATCAAGAAATTATCTATAATGGTACCACAAGAGATATCAACTTTGCAAGTTTTACTATCCGGACGAATTATAATTACTGGGATCTTAAATGAAATCCTTCTTGTAATGATATATTCGATATATTGAATTTATAAATTATATGAAAATTTATAGTTTTTTATCAATTATTTTATCTTGCCTAAACAGACTCTACCGGATACAAAGGAGCACAGTGATTTTTTATTTTCCTCCAACTGTTCACTTACCATGGAAAATGACATCAGTCAAGGAAACAGGACAAAAAAAGCAGTAAATAAATATGGAATGATGACCTTGGTTTGTTTTTCTTGACCTAATTGTTTTTCTTTTAATTTTTAATTAGGTATTAGCGGGTATTTCTTAAAACATTAAATAAAACTGATTAACGACTTCAATTTTAATTTTAACTGCCAACGTTCGCAAACCTAAAGAATTCAGGGACTTAAAATTAAACCTGGTAAAATCCTAAAATAGTTTCATTAAATTACTTAAGCTATTAAATTATAAATCCTAACACCATGTGAATTCGTGATGGCTTTAGTAGTCTATGGACTATTCCATTACTGATTTTTCTCTCGTTATTTTTTTTTGTTTGCTATATCTAAGTAGTAGCCTGCTAAAATTTTACCGGCCTAAAATTCTTAATAAAATGTAACATTGTATTTCATCGAAAATTAAATGGAATAATGGAATGGTCAAAAAGTGCTTTTTCGGTTAACTTTTTTCAGCAGTCCCGGAAAAAATAGATCACGTGTCATTCGAAGCACGTAGCTGATTTTTGAAAAAAAATATGATCCGCATGAAACAATTGCAAAAGTAACAAAGAATTAAAAAACTAAAAAAGGAGGTTTAGTTAGTTTTTTGCAAGTATCTTAAAACTATTATAAAGTTTAAAAAAGGAGAAGTAAAGTGTTAAATAATATCGGGAACTGTAGCACGAATATTTATATAACAAATACGTTTAAGCAATAAAAAAAGAACTTGTTGACTAGACTATACGGAAACTAGTATTTCCATGGATCCCATGACCGATAAATCTTTATTACGTCATAGTTGATATAACTCGTCTAGGTCAAAACTTGTGTTGGAAATTTCAGAGTTCATCCTCATTCAGAAGGTATGAAAACAAAAGTGAACCTGGAAGAACTAGCATGTATTCGTTATATAAATCACAATGCAACAGTGAATACATGAGTGAAATAAATGGACAAAACTCTTTTCAAGACCGAAGCTCTAAAAAGTAATACTATTTTAAAACAAAATTACTTATTATGTATCTACCTTATGTAATTTCAAGTGGAGTTTTGAAGCATGTTTCGAAGATATTGGAAGTCTATTTGTCTAGTCTACCTATACGCAGAGAGTGGATAAAAGATAATTAAGTTAAAAAGATTACAGGGAAAGACTTTCTTTTAAATTCACAACTTTGATTTCAGGTTCGATAATGCAAGGCAGGCGTTGAACAAAAGCGATAAACAGTCAAACGCAAATAAAATTGTTGAATTTACTAAATTTGCATCATCTACGTGGAAAGGTAAATTACACATAGGTAGTTAAGGTATATTTCAAATAAGGATTAAAATTATTCCAGCATTACGAAATACGATATGTACCTATAGAATCAACTATAATAGATTTTTTCCGCTTTATTTCAAATTATTATTTCCTACATTTTGTTATCATTCGAATTATGTTTTTTTATATAGCCGTTAAATGATGACAAAAAAATGAAACATTAAAATTTGAAGAAAAAATTACGAAAAGTTTTTAGCCGCTGCGGGAATCGAACCCACGTCTTCGGGATTGCCGCCCTGACTCGTTTACGAATTGACGCGTATCAATTATAGGTATGAGTCGCACTTCTAGTACTACTAGTAGATGAGCGAAGCGGCGAATTTTTAAAAAAACTGACACTACTTGATTCTTTTATTTAATTTTTTTAGCCATTTATTTTTTTAAGCTTATATTGATTGGTTTTCAACGTGAAATGTAATACATAATAGTAGTTACCATCTACTTAATTTTGATTGGACAGTGATAATATATAAGGTAAGGAACATGTAGAAGGTAAGGTATAAGGTAAGAAAATAATTGCAAAATACCTGGTTACTTACTTAAACAGAGGTTTTTAAAAACATGTAATCAAGAACATAAGCTTTTTTTTATTTAGTATTTTATAAAATATGTAATTAATAGGTCACGTACTGTATATTTCACATACTGTAGTAGTTATTAAGTTTCATACCTGTATTAGTATATCTACTAATTATAAAATATTTTAAGTTAAATAAATATAAATTCGCTAGAATATCCAAGGAGGGTTGACGTCAGGCAGGCGGCCGGTAGTACAGTACAGTATAGCCCTGTAGTCCCGGGTTCATAGAATAGGACTAAGGTATCTCTTGCCTATCGTAAAAGGCGACTAAAAGGGGACACGGATTGGCAGCAGCACGAAGTGGTGTCTAGCTGCTGCAAGATGGCGAGGGAATCTGGGAAGTTTAATCCTTTTCCGAGGCGTGCTCACGTGCAGTACCGAGTGATACGGGCGGGTTCCCGAATCCCGGAGTCCCTCCGAACGTACAGAAGGTGGCCACCGAGGGGGTTTTAGTGGGTAACAACCCCTCATAACCCTGTTCATGTAAAGACAGGGTATCTTCTGAAGATTTCCCCCCGATACCAAAAAAAGGCAGGCGGCCGGTCAATAACAACATGGTTCCGGAAATAAATTCCGCAACCTAAAAACTGACTATTTTTGTCAGATTTCGCCAGATTTCGTAAACACGTCCTTGAGTGCAGATATTAGTATTATAATAATTTTAAAATGACAAAAGGTGTTACAGACTGCCAATTTCTCAGTTATGACGCTTTTATCTCAGGCTGTTTATACAGGAGGTTGGAGTAAATAATGAACAAGTTTATTATGAATATAAGGTTTATCCATTACTTCAGCCTCTATATGCTAAGTACACAGATTAATTACATTTAAATTTTTTAAATGTAGGAGTAAACATACCGCAAGGGAGTACCAAGTCTTCGAAATCTGTAACATTTACGTCACAAGATTTAGGTGATTTAGAAGAGCGCAGTCGAGATGCTTCTGGATTAATTGTTGAACCGCAACAGATTACGGAGGGTAATTTTCCTTTTAACCCTTTCGGATTATGGAGCAGATAGAGATACTAGCTAATGCTATAAAAATATATTTCACCGAATTGTTTTAGTCCCAACGACAGGCGATGTACCTATTTTTATATAAAACGGCAAACCTATAATTACAACTAGATAATATCTATATTATATTATAATGCTACAGTGATAGTGCTACAGTGATAATATAATGCTACAGTAGATGTCATATCATGCGCTCCTTGCCGCCTTTTATTAGCCGTCGGCATTCTTTTATACGATAACAAATAAGATTATTCTAAATAGATTCTTTCCCTGCAGATGAAATTTTAAAATCCGGTAGATCCATAAGTTCAAAAATATGTACATATTTACACCCCAGTGTGCATGGTCACGATACCGATATTTGGCTTGCTTTTCTCATCGACGCCGGGCTCCTACAAGCTAGTGAAATGGCCATGGAAGCATGTAAGTAATATATTGCTTAACTGCTTCCCACAAAAACTTAAAATATTTCAAATTTTACCAAATGAATAATTTTTTTTTTATGCTTTTGAAAATAAACTGAAAATGAATCCTTAATCAGGATAAAAAAAAGTGTGCCGTCAGGGAACTACCGCCCGGGTTGCGTTAAGAACGAAGTTCCTTACGCTTCTACCCCAACGCTTAATAAAATTCGAAGTAAAATCTGTATATAGAAATATTTCTAATTTCTCGTTTCAATGACAAGAAGGAAGGTAGGTAAAAATTAAATATAAAAAAAATACAAAGTAAAACGAACATACCACAACGTGGGGAACTGACTGACAGACCCACATTGTTAAAAGGTATCTAAATTAATGAACTAACAAGCAAATGTTAATTGAATGACAGAAAGAGGGTTTTTTTTAACTCGCAAGGTTCGCAAGGCAGATTGTGAATTCCATTCAAAAATAGTACAGAACAGAATATTTCCTCTAAGAACTTAATATTTTATCTTCAGCACGAAATACAGTATTTTATAATGTCTTTTTTGCAGCTACTTCGACAATTATGCAGGATTCCGACGCCAAGATGGACGAGTTGGAATTTATAATAAAGCAAATAGAACATCAACAGGTAATGTTTCTATTAAAAGTAGGTATAATCAAATACCTAATTCTATCTGCGTACTTCCCTTGATTTTATATTGTTTCATTCAGAAGCCATCGGAATCTAGCACTACAAACATTAGAGACGATTACGAAGAAATACATCGAAAAATTCCTGGGCTGTTCTGGGATACAGTAAGGAAAAATAATCTTGAGTATAATTGATACATTTGTGTTTAAGTTTTCTTGTCCTGTTTTACACTTAGGCAGAATAAAGTGCAAAAAGAAAATGATCAAATGTTATTTATAATGCTTAGCTTATGCTCGCGACTTCATCCCCATGGATCTAATAAAGTAATTTTATGTTAAAACTGAAATGTCATAAATTCAAATGTATGCAGTAGTTTTTTTATGTGAAAAGGTGGCAGGCGAGCTTGCGGCTCACTTTTTAAGTGTTAACTGCCACCTATTGTCATTTGCACCATCCATAGATTTACATTCGATCTAATTTGATTTTGGTTTTGATTAGATCTTATATTGATATAAGTAATTCGCATTTAGGACTAAGAAACTTCTGTATATTATGGAATAAAGGTTTAAATTTAAATATACCATCTCAAAACATACTATGAATAAGCAATCCAATTATCATAATAACTATCAAGGACTAGCTGAAAGAAAAGCAATTATTTAATTATACATAAATGTTCAGTGATTCGTCATATAAATTAAATTTAAATATTTTAAAAAAAAACATCCTTTTTTTTGGTTTGTGTTGGTAGTAAGAAATAAAAAGTGCAATAAAAACTTATAGAATAAAGACCAATAGAATACACATTGGTACCAAACCTGCATATCACTTACGAAATTTTATTCATGAGAAATACACAAAACTTCTCTTTCACTGTACAGATTTCAATGGACAACCCAGAATTTGCTTTCAAAAAAATGAAGAGGATAATCCAAGATATAGTAAACTCACAAAAACATTTAGAACCAATGATTGATATAGACTTCATAAATATGAGTAAATATATCACAGCTCAGAATAGATTGGACAAAATCTGTAGACATTTAGGGTCCAAAACACTTTTCGTGTAATGTACTATTATTAAAAGATGTTTGTTGGAAAAAATTACTGTTTTATTTTGCAATTTGTAGAGTAGACATTTAATACATAAGTAATGTACAATTATAAGACAGAAAATATTCTAGGTTAAAAATTACTGTGAGACTGGACTACTTTATTTTTCCACTTTTATCACCTTAACACTTTAGGAATAAAAAATTGTCTCACACTAAATAATCATTTGAATACCATTGTGTCTAACATTGCTCCTAGATTTTGCACAATGTTATTTGACATAAGAACATCCACTTTCTCCTCTAAATGTCTCTTAGGATCTTGTTTGCCAACATTTTTGATAGCCAATTGCTCAGGGGTCATTTTCTCTTCATCTTCTAATGCCTTGTTATAGTTCTTTGCCAGCTCCAACATTTCAGATACTGTGGTCTCATTCACAGCACAATGTTCTTTGTAGTCTAATAATGTTAGGCCATCCATCCATGACTTTTTATGGAGATTTAGCAACATTTTTTGCTCCAGCTCATTTTTTCTGTAATTTATGCTAATTGAGTAATAGTGGCGATTGAGGCCATGTATGAGAGCCTGTACTGAAGGTTTCTGAAGGTGCCCTAAGTTTGACGTAGTCTGTCTTGGTTCCTGTCCAAGAACCATCATGTTGGGATTAATGAGACGGAATGCATCAATAACAACTTTGCCCTTTACAGATTGTATGGGATCAACAACAACAGCTACAGCACGCTCTGACAGTGCTTCAAATGACTGCTGAGTATTTATGTCTACTCCAGATAACCAGCAACCAAAACCAGGATGTGAATGATACCTTAAAAAAAATATTTTAAAAACCACCTGTATTTCCATATATTAGATGAAAGTTTTTTTCTTAGTAACTGATCCCACAAAACCAAATGTGGTAAAATTCTAGAATAACAATATTAAGGTTTTTTTTTTCACTAACAAATTTTAAAGGGAAAAAAGTAATGTAACAGCATATAAATGTCCCACTGCTGGGAAAAGTGCTCCTCTGTGCAGAGGGTATCAGGGCATAGTCCACCATGCAGCCCCACTGCGGATTGGATTGAAATATTTTTTTGTTCTTATTTCAAAAACATGCAAGTCTCCCCACTATGTCTTCCTCCACTGCCAAGCATGTGATAAGTCAGCATTTAAAATTAATAATTGCATTGGTGCTAGCACCAGGGATTGATCTTAGGTGGCTCAAGTAAATTGAATTAAAGACAAGCACCCGGACACTGAGATATCACGGCCCTTTTTAAAGGATAAAGTTATGTAAATGAAACCAGAAACTTATCAGTCTTGCATACATTTTACAGAAAAAATAATAAAAACTCACTAGTTGATCTTTAAAAAAAGACCATTACAATGAGTACAACATACAACGTACCCATATGAATATTTTTACTTTGTTGGAGAGTAATATTTATATTACTATAACATTTTTAGATATGTTAACATAGTTATTCAATATTTATTTATTTCCAACTAGTAGTTTAGGTCTAGGTCATTTTACTTCACAATTTATTTCAGTAATGTTTGTCAATTGATTAAAATATATCTATATGATAAAGAAGCATACAGCTAATGATGGGGTGGACTTATTAATTTTTAAGTGACAAAGTTTTTTTTTTTGTGAAAGTAGGCATGACTGGTGATTTTAACTTAGTAATTCTAGTTTTGATTACATTTCTTTACCATTTAATTTGTGACTGAAAAAATATTCCATCTTTATTCTAGAATTTTACCCAAATGTAAGTTAAAGACTACCTTTAAAGGCCTGCCTTTAAGTGTAGTCTAAATGTTTGAATCAAGGTAATTTGAATGAATGTGTTAAATTCCTCACCATCCTACAACCATTTCAGGACGTCCAGTTTGCTTTAACATGTCCAACATTTTAGCTTGAAATACAGGATCAACAGCCTCAACAGACACACCAGTACCAGTCTGAGGCATTGCAAATACGTCAATTACACGTACTGTGTAATCGTCCACAAATTCACCTGAAAATATTCATTTAACTCTATATAAAACACTACTTATAATACAAGATGCACCAAATGTCAATGAAAAATCAAACACTAAAAATATGTATTAATGACATCTTTTATTTGGAGTAATAAATCTATAATATGAAAAATTGAGCTTGTTTAAACGTTTTAAAAAATTTAAGGGGCTGTTGTTTATTCAGAGTGACTAGAAATTTTAACAAAATTAATTAAAGACAATGCCAAAAGGCATTAAGATCTTTTGTAATCCTTTTTTAAGGTATTTGAAATAAATAATAAAAAAAAGGATACCTAACATAAGACCCATGACCTCCATAGGTACTCCAGCACGACCATGTTTAAGCATCTTCAAAAGGGCCAAAGACGAAATATAAACTTGTTCAGCGGTATCAACTGCAGGAGCATCAGTAGGAGGAGGCGCTTGAGATAACCCAGTCATTCCTCCACCAAGACGAAGAAGACGATCCATTGTCACTTAAAACTCTGCAACTTCTATGGAATACAAAAACTTTACGGTATAGTAAGCAGTTATTCATACAGTATAGAAGCATTTTATTTTAACGAAATAATTTTAAACGGCGAACCTTCTTAAATTGCGATTAAAAATTAAGGGACCGGACCTGTAATTAACTTTTCGTGAACTTTTTTAAAAGATGCAGAATAATCTTCAAAATGCGGAATGGATGACATGTGAAAGAAATTGATTTTGACAGTTTACGTTGAAAATGCAAGCTCATGAAGAGTGTTACAATGAAAATAAACATTATTTACTTCACATTTTTGCCAACAATTTATTTTTAAATATAAAGTATTAATTTTACGCAGCCTTTTTATGAGTATTTCTAAAAATATGAGACCTAACATTTTAAACAAAAAGGTTTACAATATAGTGCATTAACATGTTATTAAGTTCTATAATAATAATTACAACTACCGTAAACTAAACAATAATAATAGAGATTTTTATTATTTTAATAATATTAATTTTGGTAACTGCGAAGCCTAGATGATTACGAGGGTATTTCCATATATTCTTCTTATATTATATTCGCAGCTGGACAGGAGCGCGGTTACGATTTGTTGGCGTGAGTTTTGTGGCTCTATTTGCTTCTCGCAATAAACTTCAAGCATTTTGAAATGCAGGTATCTCGACAATAATTGGATAAGTTTTCATTATTAAGTTGAACCTCATTTCCTTTTCATCACCACTCTGGTGTCATTATCATTTACTTAATAAATCATGTATAATATTGTTATTTTGTTTTCACTTTAGAATACATTTTATACTGGAAAAGTGTTGAATAAATGTTGATCTTTAGTAAAAACTTCGATCTTTTTTATGGAAACATATTAAAGTTGTATCAGTGCTAGAAAAGTCTCTTATACGGGTCCTGGGCCCGTTGTTTTCTCCAAATATATATTCAACTATCCTGTCTGGCAGTCCGCCGCAATACATAAGCAAAATTATATCCGATTGTCAGCTACTCCTCAAAGCCCATCAATACTCCACACACGAAAGGATCTAAACAAATCTACTAACATTAAAAAAAAATCAGTGAAGTTTCCCAACTCCCAACTTTCATTATGACATCTACACCGGCATAACCTCTTGTTGGTACAAAAACACAAATATCTGAAGATATACAGACTTAAGAAAGCAATTCGATAGACAACAGACTTAAGAAAGCAATTCGATAGACATACTGAAAAATTACTTTATACTTAAAAATACAATAAAAATTGTTGTAAGTCATGGCTGTTCATTTGTAAGCTCTATCTATTGCTAAAAATCGTAAGGTCAGCCACCTTACGCTTTTTGGCTACTTCTTTTACTATCAGACTTTGGTCGTCAGAAATACTATTATGCATCAAATTATTTTGCTTGGCTATAATCGGCGTTATTTTTTTAAACAAATACTGAAAGGTTCAGTCTCAGGTAATTTCGATAGTCGTCTGAATCAATATCTATTATTATTGTGGTAACACAGGCGCAACTACATTTCCTCTGACGAATTTTTAATAATTTCTTTCCAACATTTAATTTTTATTTCATAACAAAAATAAAACAATAGAAACGCTATTCTCTTTTTAATCGAAATAGCATGCGTAATTACAAAAACACCGACACTTTTGAGAAACGAAACATGGTACAGAAGTTTGGGGCACGTAGCTAGATAGATAGACACTGGATAGACATATAAACAGTGAAGCGAACTGACATTTAGTAGGCAATGAAAAAAAATATCGATATACCATTGTATCGATATTTATCAAAATATCTATATCGACCTCTAGGTCCCTATGTATCGACATTTTTCCTCTTCATATCTACAGGAGATTTTTTAAGAAATGCCCAAATTTACACTCGGTAGTATAACCGTTTATTGCAATAAAAAACAAAGTTTTTTTTTTCCAAAAAAAATGCCATTCTATTCCCAAAAAACAGAACGTGTTGACAATGCCTTGTAGTCATTCATAAATACATAAATTTTACTGTGAACGAACTTGTGTGCGTGTTAGTTATGAACGATAGCGCGTAAAATAAATGAGTTGCGTATAAATGACGCACTTTTTGAGATAAGTTCAATGAATGTAATTAATTACTTACGAGTGATTTTAAATATTTATCATTTTTTATAAAAGATTATTTATGTCTAGAATTTAATAAAAAAATGGATACATTTAGAAAAGCCACTCTGTATATCAATAGGAAAATTTTTCAGAAGTATTTGCTTTTAAAATAATTATGTATTTAAGTTAGTCTGGCTCAATAATAACTAATAATTATTTCAAATTACTTCAATATATGAGATTCTTAATAAAAACGAAGGTTTTTATACGATTATCGATATTGAATTTTAGGTTTGGATATATCAAGGACAAGGATCTACCGACATTTTTCCACCAATCAACAAACCTAAAATCTATTAAACTAGGGATGGGCAAGTAAAAATATATATCTATATATATCGTATCGACATTTAAAAAAAGTATCGATAATTATCAATATATTGATATACTGTCACATTCCTTAGAATAGTTGATTACAGTTAAACGATGAGCGAGGAGCATGCTTTAAACCAGAGTTTCGTTAAAAATATATCGAAATCGATTCGAATTCGATATATTTTTTAAAAATCGAATATATCGCGATAAAAAATATCGACGATATATATCGAGGTGAATAGAAAAATATCTTTATTTTTTTTTTGCCCACTCCGACATTTTTTATACTTATTAAAGCCAGTCCTTTATTAGAATATTTCAGTATATTATATATATACCTTATCTATGATGACCAATCTTATCTATGGCCAGATCAGAACCAAGTGTCATTCCATTTTCGATGAACTATATATTATATTAAAATTAAATAAACTATAACATTAAATTAAAACTGCGTGCGGGTAAAATCAAATGTCACTACCTAAATAAAATTCAAGAAATGGTTATTGAAAAGTCTGTTTTACCTGATAAGTTTTCGGCGGGTCCTCATGGCCTAGGTACGATTTAAATCACTTATAATTTTCTTTTTTACTTTAAAAAAAAAACTAAATTATCTGTTCAATAGGTGATCCAGAAGATAAAACATTAAGAAAAGTGGAAAAGGAAGTGTTAATACCAAAACTTATGAGAGAAAAAGCAAGAGCTGAAAAATGTATTAAAGAAGTAGCCGACTTTAATCAATGCTGTTTGGATTCATCCATATTTATGGTAGTTAAATGCAGAGAAGAGAATTCTATCATGAAGTCGTGTCTAACAAGCTGGTATCAAAATGACGATTTCAAAAAATTATGTACTGAAGAATATTTAAAAGAGAGAAGTGAATATAGAAAATCAGGAGTTAAAAAATCAGTGAGAAGAGCATGATAGGAGCGATTTATTTTATATAAAATAGCATTGTGCTGTTATAATCCCATCTAACTGTCAAGTATAGATTTAAATAGATAAATATAATTCTTATAAGTTATTCATCATCATTGTTTATTGACACTGGAATGGTTCTTGACAACAATATCTCTCGTACACTGTATTCTCTCAAATCATGAGGCAGTTTATACATCTTCCCACTAGTCTTCACTACTTCAGCAATTAACACATCCTGTAAAAATTTTAATAAAACTTAAGAAAATGTGTATTAATAGTGCAAATATATAAATAAACCAATATATAGATATAAACCAGTTTAATCAAGTCAAGTAGTTTACCAAATTAAACAAATGGTTTCTTATAAACATTCCCAATAAAATAATTAAATATTAATTTCTTTAATAGAAAAATGCTAACCTTTTAAAAAAACCAGATGTATTACATTAAGGAAACAAGCTCATACATACATTGACTAACCCAGTCTAAACCCTCTTTTAAGTGTTTAAAACTCCATTTTTAAGAGTTCTGCAAAGCTTCATTGGACACAGAGCCCTTGATTTAGGTTGGACTGACATCATGATTTTTTAAATTTTCATCAATGATCCAAGACTTATTGTAATCCTTTGTGCAATGATGCATTACACAACTATGAAAATGATTTATGTATCAAAAAACAGAAAACTTTTTAGTTTACTAAGAATGAACGGCAGTCCAAAAGCGACATGATGAAGTTCGTTGCCAACCATGGCTACCAATAACAACTTTGTTACATTTACCTATAATTATCCAAGTTATTGAATTTTAGCACCAGTATCAAATAATGTGCAAAAAGCATTTAATGTCCTTTTCACAAGAATACTGGCACAGGAAATACAACTTTTAGTCATTTTTCTTTTGTTACGATAAAGAAGTATAACATCTTATGTGCATATTTCTAAATACATAAATATAAAAATCTCGTTTTGAGAGAAACAACCAACAATATTCAATTTAATTTTGCATAGACAATAAGGCAAATCAAATTTTCTATCAAAATTTTATTTTCTTCTTCCCTTGGCGCTACAACCCTTTGTGGGTCTTAGCCTCTGCTAAAATATCCCTCCATTTGTCTCTAAGCTTGGCTGTCTTTCTCCAGTTTGTGATCTTTGCCATCCTCCTCAAACGTTCCTCCACACACTTGATCCAACACTTTTTAGGCCTGCCTTTCGGTCTCTTCTGTTGTGGCTTCCATCTTGTCATTATTTTCGCTCCTTTCGTGTTTGGCATTCTCTCACGGTGCCGCGCCCATCTCAGTCGCTGTGACCTGACGATCGTCTCATGTCCGATAAGTGCGTCCAATTCATAGTCCATTCGCTGACGGTAAGTACTGTCAGAGTAGATTTTTCTTAACACTTTTCTCTCGTTAAAGTCGATTAGACCATTGATGTTAAGTTTTCGTTTAACAGAAGTACTAGGTTGAAAACGACGGATGATAGTGCATCTCCTTGCTTGGCTCCCGAGTGGATTTCGAAAGTTTCCGATATATCATTTTGGACAGCGACGACTGATTTAGAGAACTTCAAAGTTGCTTCTACAAGACGTACTAGCTTACTTGGTACACCTAGTTCTGCATGCTAGAAAGTATTTGCGGTCGTTTTACACAGTCAAATAATTGCTTGAAGTCAAAAAATATGTGGTGCAAGTCAATGTTATACTCGTACGCTTTTTCCAGTGTTTGACGCAATAGATGAATTTGGTCCACGGTGGAACGATTAGGTCGGAAACAGCATTGATATGCCCTATGATCTATGATCCCATACTCACTGAAGCGCATATAAATTCTAGAGAATATTTTGTAGGCTGTCGGAAGTACTGTAGTATATACCTCTGTAATTAATACTTTACTCTCCAGTTGCTCCTTTCCGGACGACTGGAAAGAAGCCACGGTTATCGGCATTTGCAAGCCGAATAAACCAGCCAACCAGCCCTCTAGTTATCGTCCCATCAGCCTACTCAGTTGCCTGGGGAAGCTCTACGAGCGGCTTTTATTAAAGAGGCTCAAAGAGCACGTGTTTTCCAACGGCCTTCTGCCGGCGGAACAATTCGGCTTTCGAGCTAGACATTCCTGTCCCGACCAACTATTCCGCCTAACGGAGCATATCCTAAAAGGCCTAAATCACGATAAACATATTAGTACAGGGGCTCTTTTCTTCGATGTCGCAAAAGCATTCGACAAGGTCTGGCACAACGGCTTGCTTTACAAGCTGTACACACTCAAAGTGCCAGATAAGCTCGTACACACCATCTAGGCCTTCCTGTCGAACCGCTCTTTTCGACATCGAGTTGAAGGCACCCTCTCCACAAGCCGCCGCCTCACGGCCGGCGTACCACAAGGCTCCTGCCTCTCACCTTTGCTCTTTACGCTCTACACGAGCGATATATCTAAAGACCCCCACGTCAATCTCGCGCTTTTCGCGGATGACATGGCGCTCTTTTATTCAGATCGCAACCTTAGTCAAATAACCACTCGACTCCAAAGCGCCGCCGACCGCCTCGGCGATTCGTTCCGCAAATGGAGAATAGAAATAAATCCCGAAAAGAGTGTGGCGATTCACTTCACACGAAGTACTTACCCGTCACATCTTTATAATGGCCCTCGTCAATGCAGAAAGTTGGGGCAAATATCCCTTTATGGTCAACCGCTCCCCTGAGAGAAAAAGGTCAAATACTTAGGAGTCACTTTCGACTAACGTATGTCATTTAATACGCACATTAATAACGTTCGAAATAGAGCCGCGTTCGTCTCCGGCCGGCTACACAATTTAACTCAGTCTAAAAGTAAAATGCCCTTAAGGCACAAATTATTATTATTAAGACCTGCGTACGACCTATTACGTCCTACGCATGCATGACCTTCGCCCACACGCACCCAACTGGCTTGTACAAGTTGCAAATAGTACAAAATAAGTTCATCCGCCGCGCAACATCGCCGGGGGTCCCGCCGGATAACACTATACCCACAGTTAGTGCAACAACAAACACATTAGTTCGCCCTCGCCTCCGAGCACGGCGAGACCAACACAATGCGTACACAAGGTACACCCGCGTTCCGGGGCGGTTCTCACCGCCCCCAGCCACCGATTAGCTAATTGCACAGTCGACGGCCATCGGGGTTTCGGTCCGAACCGCGACCTCGATGGCCCTTAGATGACACACCATAGTTAAACGCACGCATGAGCACATGCGTGGCCCTACCCACAGGGGAGGGCCCAAAACCCGTGGGTTCTGGCTAGCCCACCGATTCTGCGTCAGATGAAGCTTTAATAGTTTCGGGACTGAAAGCAAAACCATCATTTAATACAAGATACCTCTGTAATGACTACAGATATTTTTGTTTCCCTTCTTGTAAATAGGTACAATGATACCTAGGTTACACTCTTCGGGTATCTTCTCCTCCCATATCATGACAATAAATTTATAGTCGGTCTTCGAGACGTGGTCCCCCTTTTTTAATAAATTCAGAGGTAATATTATCAAGGCCTGGTGCCATATAGTTTGAGGATGGCTTATCGGACTAGGACTATCTATCTGCAAGGCTAGGTGGTGAAAGTTGTTCTTCAATGTCATAGTAGAGTGATGTGTGTGGAGTTGTTACCTGATCATTTAATAATTCATTTTGAAGTGTTTAAGCCATCTTTTCAATATATCTAAATTTTCAGTCAGAAGATTTCCTGATTTGTCCTGACATGTGTTAATTTTAGGCTGGTAACCTTTGTGTTGGCTGTTAATGTCTTTGTAAAATAGTCTACTATGGTAACTATTTTTCAGATCCTTCATTCTCTTATATTTTTCTCTTTCTGCAGCTTTCTTTTCATGCCTTGCCATTTTTCTACACTTCTTTCGCTCCATTCTATAAAGGATTTCATTTGTTTCTGAGCCATTCTGGAGATACAAAAGTCTTGTCTCGTTTTTTCTATACATATATATAATTATTCCAGAATGTAATTTTATAGACATTATTTTAATCATCACTGTTTTTGTTCAAAATGGAGTATTATTATTAAATTAGTTTACTTTTATTAATTAGCAGTAAGTATTATTAAATTTATATAAGATAATATTTTTCAGTGATTTAGATGACACAGCAATAAAAACACAATTGAGTTTTACTGTAAGTAAAGAAGTTTTTGAAACTATTACATAAATAATTAAAATAACAAAAATAAAAGATTTTAATATTAAAACTTTACTTGTAAGTAAACAAACGACATTTAATGTTATCAATCACAATGTCTACTCCTAAATCACTATATTACTTATTAAGTACTTTTGTAATAAAATTATTTTCATGAATTGTTTCATATGACAGCTTAATTTTTTTTTCTGTTATAATCGGGGCGTCAAACATAGTTTTTTAAAAAAAAATTATCAACGGCCGATGCGCGAAAATATTTAAATTAAAGTAAATATTTAAATAAAAGCAAATAATATTTTTCTTTACGTTTATAAAAATATTTAAAATGATAAAAATTTTGATTAGATTTGCATACTGACTTTAATAATAATTAACGTTAAGTTAATTTACCATAACTTTAAAATTTTGTGTTATTAAAATTACATGTATATATTTATGTTAAACATAATGAAAAAAAATGGTTTTGGGTTTACAAATTAATACTTCAATTTAAATAATTATTTAGGGAGTTGTAACATGTTTGCAAACAGAAAATATAAATTGTAAAATACATTCTAACTGTTCAAACATCAAATTTTAAAAATGTTTTACCTTTACTGTAGATGAGGCAACACGGACCTGTCCTAAGATTGAAGTCCAATTATGTTTTTCTTCATGATATCTTATCAAAACAATTATGTCAGCATGGTTTATTCCGGGACCTTCTCTATACAATACTAAAATGATATAATATATATTTAATATATACAGATCAAAATTATCATCATATAAGGGTGGTTACTGCTTAATAATTAACTTAAACTAATATAACTGTGGTAGGACCATGTGTAATGTGGAAGTGTTATACTTCTGCATTTTGTCTGATTCATGAGGTTGGAGGATGCAACTCTAACCCTGCTGTTGTTACAAATTTTAATGGGCGGCTGTTATCACAACACATCAGGTGAACCACCAGCTCTGGAATAATAAATATACAGCGTGTCGTTACCATCGCGACAATAAATGAACATATAGGGGATAACTTTTTAAAGTTGTATTAAACATTTAAATTCTTTAAACATCAATATTTACAGAGTTATTAAATTTTCCAAAAAAAAAAAGAATTTTAGAACATCCTTACCTATAAAAGCGTAACGTTAAGTTCATTTGTAAAGGTCACAAAGCATATGAATGAGTTGAATGAAGTTAAAAGAGACAAAACATACTGTTAGAAGGAGAGGCTTGTAATACGACGCTGTGGCGCGAGTTGTATAGGATGTTACAAATTTTATTTCTTTTTTACTTAGTTTGAAAAATATTTTTTTTTTAATTATGGATTTTGTTTAACGTTAATATTTTTTTATGATTATTGGCCAGTAGCGTTAGTCGTGTGTTCATTTATTTTCGCGATGGTAACGACACGCTGTATACAATGTTGCACTACCCATGACCATAAATCAACACACATATAGAAGAAAACTTTTTAAAATTGTACTTTATATTTACTTTCTTTAAACATCAATATTTACAGAGTTATTAAATTATTAAGATAAAACATACTTAAAAACAGAGACTTGTAATGTGACAATGAATGAAAAAGTCTCAATGTAGGAATGTAGGAATGGGTCACTTTTAGTTGTATAGGATGTTACAAATTTTGTTTCTTTTTAATTTAGTTTTTTTGAAAATTACTTTTGAAATTGAAAATTCTTTTAATTATGGATTTTTTTAAACTTTTTTATGATTATTGGCAAGTAGCATTAGAAGTGTGTTCATTTTACGTCACAGTTACATGTATATATAGGTATAGTTGCTGCAAAGTAGTAAAGTTCTAATGGATTTCTAGTTGGAGAATTCTAGTTAAGAATAAAACCAGTAAAGAAAAACATAGGCTTTACATCTACAAAAATATAGAAAACTTATCTTTCTCTTTATGTTAAAAAATGGTTGATACATTTGATATAATTTATTGTATTACATTTACTTACAATAATCTCCTCCAAACTTGATTCCTGGTTTGACTATATACCCTTTAGATCGGAAGTAATGATATACAACATACTTTTCAATAAAATAGTTATCACTTTTTATAAAAAGTTCCCAGCACTGTTCTATACTTAGAACAGTATTGTCAAAATTAATTATTTGTAAACAGCCAAGTCCATATAACAAAAAAAAACTCTCTTGTGAAGTTAGCATTAACTTTTCAGGTAGCTTAATCTTGTTAATACAACATTTTGGTTTGATGTTTGAAAAGTAATCATCACCTTCAGAATCACTGTTTGGTACAATAACCACAATATCCTCTTTGTCATGATTGTGAAAAGAATTCAACAAAAAAGAATTATCAGCATCATCATTACCCTCCTCACTACTCTCATCACTAGACACCAAGTCTATAACATCTCTATTTAATTCTTTTTCACCATCACTTATTATTTTAGCTGCTAATCTATCAATATCTTTAAGAAATATGTCAGAGTCTATTGTTTCTTGAGAATTATTATATTTTCTACACCAGTGGTTCCTTTTGAGGAACTGTCTTTTTCTCATAATTGTAGGAATGTTTTGAGCTTTAGGTTTTGACCTCGAGAATGAACCCTTGCCAAAACATCCCATATGGTACAATAAAGTCATTTCATCCAAAGATTTTATTTCTACACCAAAGCCATTATAATATCCAGTAAAAATTATTCGCATAGAGCTATCTAAAGGAAAACGTAGCGATGGCTCAACTTCCATTGGACAGTAATTATTTCGATCACCACTTTGACAGTTTGATTTTGTTTCTAAAGAAGTCATGACAAAAGAACTGGCCAGTTCCCAAAATTTATTTATAGAAAAATGTGTCACAAGTCCATACGCAAATTATGAATCTGTAACAGAAAAAGAGAAGTTGTTAACCCAAAATTGATTATGAGTCAAAACACAAATTTTCAGCATTTTTAACGCCCTTGCTAGCCAAAGTATAAGAAAATATGGAAGGAAAACTCCAAAGACGTCAAGACAATGACCCTGACAAATATAACCGTGAGTTAACTCCTTTTTCAATTGAATGCTTTTGTTTTAGGTTATGTTATGGTATAAGGTATAAAAAACGTATACAATCCGTAGTACCTTAACACGATCAGAGATTAAAATTGGTTGTTTAGTTATAAATAATTAACATGATCTATCGTAACTTCGTTCATAATTTATGATTAAATCTTTTAGTACTTTAGAAGACAGTGACGTTCATCAAAACGTCATTTTTTTTTGTTTTCATTTTGATTTTAATGACATAACTTGAAATTGACGTTTCTAAATCCAGATTTTTTGTGTGTTCTATAGGCGTCATACCGGTTATGTATCCGATATTTACTTTTCATATCGATATGAAAAACTGTTTACAAATATTAACAATTTCATTGATCAACATCGGGATTTGAACCTAAGTCGAGTAAAATTTGTTTATTAAAAGCAAGCGGTGATCACTGTCCGGACGTTCGCTTTAAAATTGTTTTATTCGCAAACATATTATAGAATATCTCAATAATGTTTTTAAAGTTTCTATGAAACTAACTTTTAATGATTGAAATATCTTTAGTATTTATTACCTTTAATCCGTTCCACGAGAGCATGCCTTTTTGTAAACAAAATAATAATCTTAAATTAATGTACAAAGGGTTAAGTGTGAATATTTCTGACTTTCTGTATGTAAAATGATTATCTAAGCGTTTTTCTGCCTTTATATTGTCATTAAAACGTGTACGTCGTGTAATTAAGGAAAAATCATTTTTTTTTTTAAATCAATTTAACTGTAAAATCTTTGTTTATTAACCACGAGTATGTATAGATCCGCGGCTTCACCCGCGTGGCCAAAGGGAATTAACAATGAGTTTTTTTATTATACACTAAAATATCTCGCATATGGCGGAATTTTTTCATACTTAGTTGACACTTATCATTAATTTTTAGACAGTTCACACAATATCTTTTTATATTACAGCCTATGTGTTATTCTGATGTATAAGCTAAATTATTGTAATGATTCATTAAAATCTATTCAGTAGTTTTTGTGTGAAAGAGTAACAAATATCCATCCATACATACAAACTTTCGCCTTTATAATATTATAATATATAATTTAAGTAAGGATAGGTGTTTCAAGATGATATTCATATTCATACACAAAATCTTTCCATATCTTTTTATTTAAAAAGGTGTTATTATAATATATGCATGCAAGGGATCAGGACGTAGAAAACTTGTTATTTTTATGATGAATTATTCTGATATTTTCTAACTTTCGCTGTCGCTCGAATAAGTAAAATAATGCAACAAAAAAGTAACTAGAACATTATAATTATAACAAAATTAAAAAAATGAATGAATAACGTAACCACAATAAAAGTTTTTTACTTTTATTGTAAAATAACTGAAACCCTAAATATCCAAAAATTTACAAACAGGAGATGAAAATAAATAGGACATGTCTATACATGCACCTATGTGCAGCAAACATGTGAACCATATAGTTCAGGTGTGACATAGGAATGCCGAAAAAGTATAGATATATCGATATTTGTGAATCTACATATCGAGGTCGATATTGATATTTTTATGAAATATAGATATATTTCTATTCGATATACTTCACTTTCGACATCCAGAGTGCAAGATGATAAACGTGGGAAGGAACATGCACGAGAAAGGAAGGAGCTCGCATTAAACCAAAGCTCGATCGTGTCGGGTAGTCATTGTACATTTAGTCGTACGGTCGTTACGTAATTCATTTTGAACTTATTTTTTTCGAAGACTGACGCCCGAAGTTTCCCTAATACTGATCATCGTAGAAGTTCACTAATCAGCTGTCAAATGGATTTTCAAATGTCATTTGAGTTGCCAAAGGATGGTTAAACAATTAAATTGATCATTCTGATCTGATTTTGAACTTCTACGATGACCAGTATTAGCGACATTTATTGGTTATTTCTGGTTTTACTATAAATAAACACAGTTAAAGAATAATCTTGAACACAAATTGTTACTAGCAATTAATTATGTAATTAATTTATCGTAAGCGATTTCGATTGATTCACAATTTCGAACTTATTTCCTCCGCGAGGCAGGTCCCAAGTCTTTTTTTATGTGATGAAAATGATACAACATACTGACGATCTGAATGGCTTAGTGGGTAGTGTACCTGCATCCTGCGCCAGAGGGTGTGGGTTCGATTCCCACTACTGGAAAAATATTCTGTGATGAACATAGTATTTTCCTAATGTCTGGGTGTTTACATGTTAATTTATAAAAGAAAAGTATGTTTAAGTATGTTTATCAGTCATCTAGTACTCTTAGTACAAGCGTTGCTTAGTTTGGGACTAGAAAACGTTGTGCAAAAATGTGTCCTAAAAATATTTATTTATGTATTTTTAGTTTATTAACACATTATTAAATTATATGTTCTCCATTTTGGTGCAATACCTTTTGCCATCTTTCGGGCAGGAGATTGATTCCACCCTCACTCATAAAACTTCCGATCTTTGCTGTCAAAAGCAAAGTAATATTTTACACCCTGATGTAAAGTGAAGGATGTTCCGTCGAAAAAAATTGTAGAGGCCGCAAAAAATAACAGTCTGAAGGTGCCAAATTTAAATAATATGGTAGGTGTGGTAGTACCTACATTACGTTCAGGTTTTAAAAGCTTCTGACGTGTTATTAGGTCTCACATTATAGTAATGGAATTCTTATACCTTTGCTATTGAATCATTCTGACCTTTTCTGCATGACGAATTCAATTTATCCCGTTAACCACAGACTCACCCAGAGATCACAAACAATACAGTTCAAAATTAATCGGGATATTTCATCGATTGATTTGTTTCTGAAACAAAATCTTTTATTTGAAAAGCAAATCAGAGTTGTAAATGCAAGGAAGACAATTTCGTTACGTAAGAACACGTGGAACCCATTTGTTACAATTTGAAATTAAACCAAGATGTTTTACATGTTCATGAATAGTCGAATTTGACAAAATTAATCTATCAGTAATCTCAGGAGTTATTATTTGCTGGTATGTATCAAGGCCTTTACTTTGTCTTCGTCAAATCAACTGACCTTCCAGAACGTGGTGCATCTTCAATATCGAAATTCCCGAAAAAAAAAATAAAAACAATTTAGACATTTTCATTCGGTCAATTCAACTTCCCCATACGCACAGAATTTTCACCTTGGTTAAAGTGCATTTTTCTTTTTGGAAAGTAAACGTAAAATATGCCGAAAATGCTGCGTTCAATTTTCTATTTTTGATATATATAACCAAAGAAATCCTTTTGCACAAATGAAACAAAAATTTTAACAAACAATTTATTTACGATATCTGAATTGTGCTAACAAAAAAAGAATTTTCAAATAACCTATTATACAACCGTGATAGCGCAGTGTTCGGTCGGTCGCCTTAAATTCTATTTACTCAAGGAACCTGAATTCGATCCCCGATGCCCAATGAAATTGTTAATTTTAAGTGCAGACTTATCACGTGCTCAGCGCTAAAAGAAGATGCCTTGGTCAGACAGTGGGACATGTATAGGCAGTTACATTTAGGTTTTCGAAAACTTTCGTTATGCGAAAATTACGCTTGGGTCAACTAGTTTTTATTATATAAAAATAGTTTAAAATAATATATCTGAGATATTTTAGCTATAAAAATACTTTAATAACAATCTTTACTCCCACCTTGTAATATTACTAAAATTAGTAAAAAATTTAAAAATTGTATTGATTTTATTGTTGATTTTTAAACGTAGCTACAATTGACGTTTCTTCTCTATCTATGTTGCAAACTTGTGTTTGAATCAGAACAGACAACAGCAGCAATAAATACAGTTATCTCTTTTTTTCCAGCTAAAAAAGTTTACGTTAGAGAAGGTAAGATGCAATTATCTTTTATAGATTTGCCAACTTCACGTAACATAGTCACAAGACCTCTCAGCTGAGGGTGCTTTGTAGTTTTTCTCTTCACTGAAAGTTATTTTAAAATAAAATATATTTTATTGTAATCTAGCGTTTTTTTCGAGTATCATAGTAGCCAAAATGGCTAATATTAACGAAGACAATGTTAGCAAACTTATTCCAACGCTTGGCGACGATAAAATTGGTAAGTATTTTCCTGTCCCATGTTAATGTCTTAAACTCCACCTAAAATGTTTTATAGTTAAAATAAAACCCCAAAAACCAACAAAACGGTCCTTTTGTTTTACAGATATGATTGCAGCTACCAGTGTCTTGCAAATTAGGGCGAGTGAAATACGCCAATCTCAAATAAATTGGCAATCTTATTTGCAGTCAGTATTGATCCTATGGTTAAATTATTTTGATTTTTTTATCCTTCCTATAAGTAACCTATAACTATGACAGGTCTCAGATGATCACTCAACGTGATCATGACTTTATTGTGAACCTGGATCAGCGGGGCCAGAAGGATTTGCCTGATAAAAACCCTGAAGCTTGTGCAGATGTCTTCCTTAACTTACTAACGCACATCTCTAAAGACAACACCATTCAGTACATACTTGTTCTTATTGATGACATTCTATCTGTAAGTATTAAATTATTATTTAAATTTATTAATTAAATTAATATAAGAAGGTATTAAAAATCTTAGCCAATTAATGTTCAATAATGTTAACTATGTTAAGTTTGATAAAACCAATTCTGGGATGTTTTGATTGTACATACACAGATTGATAATGCTTTTTAGTTTGAGTTATCTTGACATCTTACTAGATATTTAGCTACAAAGAGCCCAAAAATGAATCAAAGAGAGTTATTGAAAGAATAAAATTCTGTGAAAATATATCCCAATGCATTGATTGTCTAATTGTGTTTGTTCTTCATAAAAATTATAGGAAGATAAGTCCAGAGTCAAGATTTTCCGCGAATCCAGGCATGGAAGCATTTGGCAACCTTTCCTGAATCTGCTGAACCGTCAAGATGAATTTGTGCAGCATATGACAGCTCGCATCATTGCAAAGCTAGCATGCTGGCACTCACAACTGATGGACAAGAGTGACCTACATTTCTATCTGTCTTGGCTAAAGGACCAGCTCAAAGTGAATGTGAGTTATGTTTTTGTTTATATTTGCTACTATTAAGTAATAATTTTAAGCATGCAGATTGATTTTCCATGTTTAATACATTTTTGTTGATTTTTATGAATTTTTTTTATTCAGGTTTAATAGCTGATTGTTACCCCTTGGCAATCATATTTTAACTCTATATTAAGCTAAAAATTAAGACAATATATCATATTAACATGATTTACATTTTAATTAATAATTTAAGAAATGTATGGGTATTGGACATAAATACAGCGTGTCGTTACCATCGCGACAATAAATGAACACAGGTCTAACGCTACTTGCCAATAATCTTAAAAAAATATTAACGTTAAACAAAATCCATAATTAAAAAAAAATATTTTTCAAACAAACTAATTAAATAAAAAATAAACAAAATTTGTAACATCCTATACAACTCGCGCCACAGCGTCGCATTACAAGCCTCTCCTTCTAACAGTATGTTTTGTCTCTTTTAAATTCATTCAACCCATTCATATGCTTTGTGACCTTTACAAATGAACTTTACGTGACGCTTTTATAGGTAAGGGTGTTCTAAAATTCTTTGTTTTGGAAAATTTAATAACTCTGTAAATATTGATGTTTAAAGAATTTAAATGTTTAATACAACTTTAAAAAGTTATCCCCTATATGTGTGTTTATTTATTGTTGCGATGGTAACGACATGTTGTATACTTACTAACTCTTATTCTTTATGGTCTGTGCTGGTTATATGGTTGGTGATAAGAATTCATTCATATTACAGTAATAATAAAACTCACATGTATATATATCTATTAATGCTTGTTTACATGATAGTATTACATCGTAACTGCTTCATCTTACTGTAATGAAAATTCATTGAACGTCAACATTTTATTCTACATTTTTTATGTATTGTGACCTTCAAATCAAGGAGCTGTGTAACTATTTAAAAACTATCTGAACTTTTAAACATGACCATTATTATTTAAATTAATGACATATGTTTTCGGCGTAATTCGCGCCATCATCTTATTTTTTCAACAACTTCAAAAAAGATGATTGTTCTAAATTCAGTTTTAGTTTTTTATGTTTGTTTTGTCAGAACTTCAACCAATTTTAAAAACTCATTGGTTCCAATTTTGCTTCCATGTTGTCCCATATTTATTGGTATTAAGACCTGAGATGTATCATAGATCTACATCTCCTCAAACTCAAACAGAAAATGTGTAATAAGTGACATATTTGAAATCTGTTCTGTTTTTGGTTAGTCACAGTTTTATCATTTATTATGTTTAAAAATCCTAAGATATAATAAAAATATCAATATAGGAATAAAAATAACAATTCATCTGTTTTTTCAATTACATAAATATAATTTTAACAACCAATAAACAAGAAGTCTTCTGCTAAAAAAATAAACATTTGTATCTTAACCACTGGAAGCTAACTCATCATGTTGATCTGTATTCTTCTTGCATCAATGGGGCATTATGGTCATGACTGCATTTTTGTCACTGAGAGGTTTGTTTTCTGGTAAGGCTGAGAAAATGTCTGCCGAGTTAGCGCATGCTGAGCAGGTTATGTTGGCGCACGAAAAACAGCATTTCGCCGATAAACACAAACATCACAAGGATAAGGAGCCTGAAGGAGCCAACGAGAAATATTCGAGCCTTTACAGCTCTTTTGATGAAGTCAAATCGCATGAGGATTTACCACCAGGTCTCCATAAGGTACTCCTTGTGTAGATGTTGACACAAGACCTCAATGTTAATAGAGTGAATTTAACAATGAATGCAGTGATTAACTGTATGTTACAATGTACTAATTACTTACTCTTAACTAACACTGGTGACATAACAATGTGTGTATTTTGCATGCTTAAATTTAAATTTCCATTAATCATAAACTCTGGTTTTTGGTTTTGCCTATAAGATATTTCCCTTTTGCCTTTTGTACTTGTAAGTTTGTTCATAAATATAAACAAATTAATTGTACCGAAATGGAAGTACATGCATTTAAATAAAATTTGATATTAAATCCTAAAAAATAAATGGACAATATAGAAAAAAGTTATTCTTACTAAGTTGAAATTTATACCTGTTACTTTCTTAATATAACCCCTATTCTAGAATAAGTTTATACTATGTTGTGAAGGGGTTTTACATATATATACATATATAAAGGGGTTTACATACATAATTGTATATTTTAATCTTTACTTTTATATTATAACTCTTCCAAAGTATTATTAGTTTATTATTTATATCGCAAGTTTTTAAACTTAAAACAATATTGTAAAATAATGTCCATGACATTATTTGAAGTTATATTTATCCTTCTATGACAAGATTGGCAGGGGCTGATATGGTAAGATTAGGTAAGTAGCAAATCTGCTACTGAAATGTACAATGTATTATAGAATTGATGAGGAAATAAATGTAAAATGTCTCAAATATAGTTTAATGATGTTTACCATCATGAAATTATTGGCTTTTGTAAAAAAACTGTACTTATTGATTTTTATACATAAATAAAAACATGATGAATAAAAATTATTCAGCCTGAAATAATTCAAGTTGCAATTTTGATATTTTCATTTTACAGCTATGCCCATTTTTTTATTTTGTTGATGTGGCAATTAGCCATTTAGCTTAGAGGTTAAAGAGTCTGGGTGCAAATCCGCAAGAGATGGGTTCTATTCTTTTTCTACAAATTTTAAGACAGCTATTCTCCCTTTTTAAGGTTTATTTGATGCAACCTAAATATATGTATTTATCAAACACTTGTACTTTTATAATTCTGCTTTGCTGCTGCATTCTGTGTTGTATTGTTATGTAGGTTTAGTTAATAAGTACTCTATTGATAATTTGTAATACTTATAAGGTATGAAAAGCAAATTAAAACCCTTATATTTTCAGGATAGCATTTTAAAAAACTAATATACTTAGGTAATATGTTTGCCATTTATATGCAGAACAATGACTACATCCAGTCGGTGGCGCGCTGCCTTCAAATGATGCTTCGCATTGATGAATACCGCTTCGCCTTTTTGTCCGTGGATGGTATTTCTACTTTACTGTCCATACTGGCTTCAAGAGTCAACTTCCAGGTTTGTAGTGATTTATCAGAAGCATTGTTGCAGTATTAAGCCATTGTTGTATTATATCTTCTCATTCTCATTACTATTGCTCTGTTTTTCATGTTTACCCCCTTGTTTAAATAGTATTTAAAACTTTTGTAGGTGCAATATCAACTGGTCTTCTGCCTGTGGGTACTAACTTTCAATCCTCTTTTGGCCGAGAAAATGAACAAGTTCAATGCTATTCCAATTCTTGCTGATATTCTTAGTGACTCTGTGAAGGAAAAAGTTACGCGAATTGTCCTTGCTGTCTTCAGAAATCTCATAGAGAAGCCTGAAGATCAACAGGTAATAATATTTCAAAATGTAAAAATTCAACTTTTTTAAATTATCAAACGTTAAAATAATTACGTAAGTACAGTATTTATCCACATAAACTTCGTGTAAAAAATAGAGTAATATGTCTGACTCCTATGGCATAGTAAGATCTAGACTAGAAAGTACTTGTAAGAAAATTAAAGGCATTATAAAAAAAATTCAGGCTATCGGGTCTAGTAGCGAAGACGATGTTCCGAACACTTTTACCTTGTCAAATACCAATAAAACAAAGTAAAAAGCGACAACTATATCATGTGAAAGTAAATGCATTAGGCTAAGTATGGCAATAATTTTTTTTATTAACATTCAATACCATAATATGTCACCAATAAGAAATCAAGTAACATGTGTTTGCTTTACTTTCGAATTATAGGTTGCAAAGGAGCACTGCATTGCTATGGTTCAGTGCAAGGTCTTGAAGCAGCTTTCCATCTTAGAACAGAAGCGTTCCGACGACGAGGACATTATGAACGACGTTGACTTCCTCAATGAGCGCCTACAAGCCTCGGTGCAAGATCTTAGCTCATTTGACCAATACGCAACTGAGGTTAAGAGTGGCCGGTAAGTAATAGATAGATGAAATGTATTTTTTTTTAAAACATAGCCTTTTAGGATAACATTATCCTGTTGTAAGGACGTTTTACGCCACGGAGTGATAAAGACACAAGAACCCAATATTATATTTTTTATTCATGCCACTTTGTAAACATTGAAATTGCTTTCTATAATTTTCTAAACAAGTTTCTTTACTCATTTGTGATTATTTATGGATTTAAAAATAATTAATATGTACGTTAATGGCAGAGGATATTGATTTTATAAATAGTCACTAGCCAATACTATGGTTGCAGTTGTGTTTTTCCCCCCTAGTGCTGTGCTGTGATGGAATCCATAATTTCCTGCTTACTTTTAATGTAATTTTATAATGTCTTTGCTGTAACATCTATAGTTGTAATGAATGGTACGAATAGGTTGGTATTGTATATCACACTCTTTAACGTTAAGAATGGTTCTTGGGTGACAGCCTCGTACGGGCCATCGCAGTGTAGGACGACCCTCCAATAGATGGAGTGACGACCTGTGCAAATGTGCGGGAAGTTGATGGATGCGGGTGGCTCAGGATTGTACTTCGTGGCATTCTATGGGGGAGGCCTATGTTCAGCAGTGGACTCAAACATGCTGAAATGATGATGATGAACGTTAATTTCTCCTACTGCCCGTGACAAACAGACTGGAGTGGTCCCCGGTGCACAAGTCGGCCAAGTTCTGGCGCGAGAACGCCGCGCGCCTGAACGAGCGCGGCCAAGAGCTGCTCCGCACCCTCGTCCACCTGCTGGAGAAGAGCCGGGACCCAGTAGTACTGGCCGTGGCCTGCTACGACGTCGGAGAGTACGTGCGTCACTATCCTCGAGGCAAACAGTGCGTATCGACGGTTTTTACATAATATATTAGATCAGAATACCCCGAACCAATCCAAACGCGCGTTTGGGAAAAAACAATGAGAGTGATTTTTTCCGATGCCCTATACCAAAAAGCGACACCAACTTCATGAGAATCAATAACGACTCTTTGACTTTTACCTAAAACTCCCAAGTTATTTAATTCAACCAATCCAATTGCATTTAATGTCTTTTTTTTTCCACAGAGATTTCTCGCATAAGCTTTTTATTTATTTTTCTTTATGCTAAAGAAGTATAACCTCTTAATATTCTTACTACACTAAATTCCAAACCTACACTAAAAATAAAAATGAGATGTAATGTTTTTCAAAGAAAAACATTGTTTTTGTAATTGAGCAGTTTATCTTTCATTTTATTTTTAGTGTTATTCCCTGTAATCAGGAAAGTCAGTCTTATGATGATGAAACTGACTTTGGAAATTTTTTGCAGAAAAATTGTCGAAATCTTTTTTCTTTACGCTAGATAAACGATGCAGGTAGAAACGCAGTGCAGAAAATATCACGTCTAGACGAATTTTTTTCTTTTGCACTTACCAGTTTCTTATTAGCCAATTCTTTTACAAAAAAAATCGTATTCTAGGTCTTAAGTTCTTAAAAATGAAATCTTACCAAAGTTGAAAAATTTCTCTATCTTATTTTTGATACTTTAGCACACAAGAATCGACGATCGAATAACTTAATAATATATTTCTAAATCTTAACGGTATATATACTACAAGCTTGAAATTAGACTTAAGTGTATGCATTAATCATAAATGCCTGCGCCTGAATATCATAACCAAAATTTAACCAGTTATTTTTTTTTTCTTTCCATACGAAACTAGTTACTTTCGAATATTTTACCTAGGCAACTACTTTTTAGAGGCTCCATTAATATTAGCTAGACCTACGCAATTTTTCTTTAAAAAACAAATCTTAATGTAAAAAGCGTTACCTAAACTTATCACAATACACAATACGGCTTGGGAGAAATGTATCTAATACCTTTAAACGGGCAATTCTTGTTCATTTAAACAAAAGAGAAAAAATCGCGTAAATAGAAATTTTCCTCCAACCGAATATTTTTGCCAATAAAAGGCGGGAAGTCAAATACATAGTCGGTATTGGGCGTGTGACCAAATATGCTATACGTTGCAAGTCTACTTAAAATACTTCTTGGTTTTTGCTTTTCTTTTTCTATCCATTGCTTTTTTTACGAAATATGCACGATTTTTAAGCACGGCTATGGTACACGAATTAACACTTGGTACCACTTGATTGTTGCAGTATTATCGAACAGTTGGGAGGAAAGCAGCGCGTTATGCATTTGCTAAGCCACGAGGATCCTAACGTGCGTTACGAGGCCCTACTCGCCGTTCAAAAACTTATGGTCCACAACTGGTAATTTGATATTGCAGTTATATTTTTCAAACACTGAGAGTTTCAACTAAATGTCTGGTCTTTGATTATTATACTCCATATTGTTCAATATTTCGTAATTTTTAGTCATTTAGTCTGTTAGTCATTACCAATTAAGGTTTCAATATTCTATCCTTCCGTAGATTTTGTAACTAGAGATAGAATTTAGTCGTAAGTATTGTGGAGCTAATGTCAAATACCTATCGCTATAACAAAATCCATAGATAGATAGAAATATTGAAACCTGCCGTAAACCTACAGTTGTTATTGAAAGGTAGTTATTACTAATTACTACCTACCAATTAAAGATATGAAAGACGCATTTACATTTTTAACATAATTACTTTTGCAGGGAATATCTTGGCAAGCAGTTGGAAAAGGAGCAAATTGATAAACAAGGCGGCACTGCTGTTGGAGCTAAGGCCTAACTGGCTTTTGATGTTATGATTCAGAGTATTTAATGTTGTTATATATTATCTTCAAGTTGGGCTTTGATTGCAATAACTGTAGCATTATATCAAATGTAGGCCCCATTTAGTATTACATGTTGTAAATAATAAGCCATTATTATTTTTGTTCATTATGTATTGTATTCAACAGTATAATTTGCACTGTTAAAGACCTTAAATTTAAAGCTAAAATATTTAATAGCTGTGTGTTTAACACATACATCTCTGTTATGATCAAAGTGCTATATTATTGATTATTGTCATAATGTCGTGAATTCTGGAAATATATTTGACAGATTTTTAAAACACATTCCTCTCCAAGGTTTATTGTTGTTTATAAAAATATATTATTATAAAGTTGATAAATTTATCGTGGATTATTTAAAATTGTAAAAGAGTAGTTAGTAGCTTTCCAGGCTTGAACCGGCACCAATAATGATGTGATTAAAATGTATTAAATGATTGTATAGTTGTGTTATTACCCCTTATTTGTATTACAATTAATAGTAATTCCAAGTCCAATATATAGATATTGCATAGGAGAAACGCTTCTTAGGGTTGTTAGCTGCTGCGCTTTTGACCTGATCCAACGGGGAGAATTACGTATACGTTGCATCCATAAGGATCATAAAACTCACGTATAAGAATCGAAATCATCAAAATTCAAGCTACAAATTAACTTTTCGGTTAATTATTATAATATTTGTTATAAATGCAATTATGCTCTGGCCCTTTTAGTTTATTTATTTATTGATTAGGCAACTGACGTCATCGAATTATAAAAGTGGCGTTCTTCATAGGTTTTAATTAGATTAAAGAGCGTATTTTGCTGCTCGATATTCACAGGTAAGAAAAAATAAAGTTGGATGATAATTTATACCAACTCTGCAAACCGTATTATAGAATGTTTTTGAACGCAACTGTACACAAACGCTTAATTTAAATAAAACGCTAAATTTTTTCGACAAAAACTGGGGTTTATTACGCAACGAGCAAACTATCGTACGCAGACTTGCTCGTACACACGACGTGAGTGTTTTAAAACCGCCACCAGGCACACGCAGATATATGTGTAGGCTGCGGATCAGGGACTGGGATCTTGCCGGCGAAATTGAATTAATCATAGGATAAATGACCTCCAACTTGTCGGTTCGGACGATCGTTGTGAATCATTTTATAATTTGACTTGAATTTGAATCGGGAATGTGATGATTATGACCCAGAATTTCATGCTTGTTTTTTGGAAAAACTACTAGACACTACCTTTAAATTTACTGTGTTTGGGTTATAAACAGTAAAATAATTCCGTAAAATGCAAAAATTCATTTTTAGTATCCATATAAAATCAATTTTTAATAATATCTTGTATTTACGCGATTACACATTATAAAATCAATTTTTTTTTATAACTTTTAGGGTTCTTTTCAATTTTTCATGTTTATGGTTGAACGTCTCATTGCTACATGTTATCATCATTTAAAAAAATATCGGCTGTTTTGTTATTATTTTTAATTTGACACCTGTCATATTACATATGTATGCGGAATGTCGTGCGTACATAGAAGTAGGAAAATGTATTAAATAATATTTAATAATTTAAACCGATGATAATACTTTAAATATGGAGGACGTATTGATATTAAAAGATTATAAAACTGTTCCGGATGTTGTACACGAATATGGACCAACCTTAAAGTTTGGACATATACCCTTAGTTATAGATAATGGTAAGGAACTTTTTATATACAGATTGTATTGCTTCGATAAAATAAAGTAAGTGTCCTTATTGTCCAGGTTCATATCAATGTCGTGTGGGTTGGTCGATATACGATGAACCACATTTAATATTTAAAAATCTAATTGCACGACCTCGCAAAGATCGATGTAAAAAAGATGCTGAACCTCCTGTTACACCGCCGATTCAGATTGGAAATGATATTATTAATATAGAAGCGGTGAGGTAAGTAAGCCTGTATAAAATTTTATTTACTTCATAGAATAGATGTTCATTCATATTTGTAGTTAAAATAATTTTTTCATTGCTATCATGAATAATTAGGGAATAAATGACTAGTTTTCCTTTCACAGATCAAAAACTATTTAACTATATGCATTTCAAAATAATCTATTCATTTTATCATGTTTCTCAGATTCCAGCTTAAAACACAATTTGACAAAAATGTAGTTACTCATTTTGAGGTTCAAGAACAAGTTTGTGATTATATATTTTCACATTTGGGAATTGACAGTGAAGGCAGTGTGCCGCATCCTATAGTTATGACAGAAGCTTTTGTAACACCAAATTATTGCAGACAATGTAAGGTTATTAATATTAAATAAATATAAATGTAAATTGGGTGATTGTTTACAATACTTGGTTATTACCTCCATTCTAAAAACATATTTCCATACGAAAAATGCGTGTGCCCCTGTTGTAAACAATTACCAAGTTTTATTTTGGTTGTTATTTTTTGAAGTGAAAAGTTTAATAGGCATTGTGGGTAATTTTCGAGGGGAAAAAATTCACTAACATGCAAATTTTTGTTTCGTCCTTGATGTTCAAATTTTGAAATTATTTGGTTTTATAATATTTGATATGTGTAAAACATATTCCTATGTATTTGATAGTATGTTTGTCACACATTTTAAAATAAAAGGTGTATAAAATTTTATAAAATAGGTCAGTTTACTAGAGCGTAGATGTAGGTTTGTATCCAAACATTGCAAATTTGTATGTCAATTTAACTTATAAACTGACATTTAATGTCTCTTAATTTTATTTAAGTTTTTAATATTCTCTAGTTAGTGACTCTGCCTTTTGCACCAGAGGGTGTGGGTTGGATCCCCACTATTGGATAAATATTGTGTGATGAACATAGTGTTTTTCTAGTGTCTGGGTGTTTATATATCTATAATATGTACTTCTTTACAAATGAAAAGTATATTTAAATATATGTATAAGCTTTTCTTAGTTTGGAACAAGATAATGTTGTTAAAAATATGTCCTGAAATATTTATTTATTAACATTATTTTTTTTAGTAATGTCAGAGCTGTTATTTGAAGGTTATGGAGTACCTGCTGTAAGCTATGGAATAGACTCACTATTTAGTATGTATAAAAATGACATAGGTGATTCTGCTTTAATTGTAAATTGTGGATATCATACCATACACATTATACCTGTTATCAGAGGAAAAGTTATTGCTGACCACTCACGACGAATAAATTTAGGTAAGGACTTTTGGAGTTTACATGATGCAACAATGATTGTAAATTTTAGAACAATTGCTGAAGAGCAACCACAAGTAACATAATAGCTTCTCTTATATAAATGACTAATGGGCCAACTTAAGGTCTCGTGTGTGAAGTAAAAGTGTTCATGTTTTTGCATTTTATCAAGTGACTGAAGTAGTGACTTGAAAAAGAAAAAACATCTTTTGAAATTTGTGACAGCTTGCAACAATGAGTGTAAATTTTAGAACAATTGCTGTAGAGCAACCACAAGTAACATAATAGCTTCTCTTATATAAATGACCAATGGGCCAACTTAAGGTCTCTTGTGTGAAGTAAAAGGTTTCAAGTTTTTGCATTTTATTTAGTGACTGAAGTAGTGACTTGAAAAAGAAAAAACATCTTTTGAAATTTGTGACAGCTTGCAACAATGAGTGTAAATTTTAGAACAATTGCTGTAGAGCAACCACAAGTAACATAATAGCTTCTCTTATATAAATGACCAATGGGCCAACTTAAGGTCCCTTGTGTGAAGTAAAAGTGTTCATGTTTTTGCATTTTATTTAGTGACTGAAGTAGTGACTTGAAAAATAAAAAACTTTTTTTTTTTTTTTTTACTTTATTGTACACAATTAAAATACAGACAATCGGAACAAATGACAAAAACATGTACAAAGGCGAGCTTAACCCTAAAAAGAGTTCTCTTCCAGCAGACCCTTGAGAACACGAAGCCATAATACTATATAATTAGGTAAAGGTGTGTACATTATTAAAAAAAATTACCAGAGTAATTGTAAAAATATACAAGAACTATATACTTAATATCAAATATCAATATATATATATATATATATATATATATATATATATATATATATAGATAGCTACATATAAATTTATATATAATAATAAAAAGACATATATACAAAGTTTAAATAATATATACAAATACATACCTACATACAATATAAATACATACAAACATTTGTTGTCAATCCTAAGTAGATAAGTAGTGTCTCTTGATTCTATTACGAAAAATGTCAAGGGAAGAGCTGGCACGTATGCCATGTGGTAGTGAATTCCATAACTTGACCGCCTTTACAGTAAATGACGCATCATACCTTTTGGTGAAGTGAGTAGGTGTTTTGAGAAGTAGGGATTTCGTAGTCCGGCATTTAGTTCCACTAGGAACCAGATATTCAAACCGCTGACGGAGATAAGAAGGAGCTAAAGGATTAGATAGTAAGAAATAAAGGAAGGATAGTACATGTAAGTCTCGACGTCTACGTATGGGAAGCCACTGTAATTGTGCCCTGTAATCAGAAACATGATCAAACTTACGCAGGCCAAAAACGAATCGAATGCACAAATTCTGAAGTCGTTCCAGCTTGTTCAGTAATTCTTCTGTAGCGTCCAAGAAACATACATCAGCATAGTCAATAAGAGGCAGAAGAAGAGCATGAGTTAAAGTGACTTATGTTTTAATAGGAAGAAAATACTGAAGGCGTTTGAGAGAATGCAGGGTATCATTCACTTTTTTGCTTACAGGATTAATATGCGATGCCCAAGACATGTGACTATCAAAGATAACACCCAAATTTTTGGCGGTATCTGTATATGGAATCTTGATGTTGTCATATAATACAGCAGGGAGTTTTGATTGATCTAAAGTTTTTAGCACATGTGAGCTGCCAATTATAAGCACTTGTGATTTACTAGGATTGACGAGTAAACCAAAAGATAAGTCTTTTGGTTTACTCGTCAAGTTCTCGCCCACAAGTTTATAGCACTCAAATCCTGATTTAGTAGAGAAATAGCACAATTTATATCTTCTGACTCAAAGTGGCGATACAGCTGCAAATCATCAGCGTAAAAGTGATAGTAGGAGGACAGTAGTAAGAACGTTAATGAAAATAGAAAAGAGGAGAGGAGAGAGAGCGCTTCCCTGGGGAACCCCCACAGCTAGATCGCACCACTCAGAATATTCTTCTTCGTGGCGTACACACTGTGAGCGATCTCTCAGGAAAGAATAAAACCAGGAAATTACATAGCTTGAGATATTTAAAGAAGAAAGAATTTCCAGAAGTATATCATAGTTCACAGAGTTAAATGCGCTGCTGAAGTCCAAAAGTGTTAAAACAGAGAGAAAATTGTTGTCCATAGCCCAGCGAATGTCGTCTGACACTTTTATCAGAGCACTGACTGTGCTGTGGCCAGGACGAAAACCAGATTGAAACGGATTCAACAGGCCATGAGAAGATAAGAAATTAGAAAGTTGCTTATGTACTAATTTTTCCAGGATTTTGGACATTACCGGAAGAATCGAGATGGGGCGAAATTGTGACAGGGATGTGGGCGTGGAGATTTTAGGAAGGGGAATAACGAATGCCTTTTTCCAGCAAGAAGGGAAGGAGCTCGTTTTTAGAGAAGAATTGATGAGATAAGTGATAATAGGAGCCAGTTCGTTGGTGATAGGTCTGATTTTTTGAATGGATATCCCATCGTAACCAATTGCCTTTGTGGAAATCGATGTTATACATTTTTTAATGTCATCTTCACTTACCTCACTAAAGACGAAAGAAGAACATAGTGGTCTAGGAGTGCTGGCCAAAAGGTTAAGTGTAGCATCTTTAGTGGAGTAGTTTATAGAAATAGGGGGTTCGGAAAAGTGTTTATTGAGCTCAGTTAAATTAAAAGGAAAATTAACTTTACTTGTTGAGTTACCCAGACCAAGACTCTTCAGGAATTTCCACATCTTAGCAGGATGAGTGTTTTCAACCTCAGCATGAATATGGTTTCTTTTTGCATCCCGAAACATCTTGCTGCAACGATTGCGTAGCTTTTTATACAGTGATAGATTTTCATCACAGGGATGCTTCTTATAATGTCTCTTGGCCTTATCCCTTTTGGACATCATTTTTTTAATTGGTAAGGTAATCCATGGGGCGGGACAGTGCTTCACTTTGACTCGCTTAAGAGATGCGTGTATGTCAAAAAGGCCTGAAATAATTTTATTGAAGGAAGAAACTTTATTATCAATATTAATGGAATTTAAAACAGGAGACCAGTCTATATTATTTACATCCTCTCTCAGACGTTCCAGATCCACCGATGCAAAATTCCTGAGAAAAAGATATCTTGATTTGCGTTTAGGGCGGTTAATTTTATAGGATAGGAAGATAAGGTCGTGGTATGAAAAGGAAGCAGGTATTTGACCATGCGAAGCTACATGGTTAGTATCAGAAACAAGAATAAGATCTAAGAGTGAAGGGGTGGAATTAGGGGAATGGTGAGAGAGCAAGAAGAGAGAGGAAGAATGTGTAAATTGACAGAAGAGACCAGGGAAAGTCTCATCTTTTGAAATTTGTGACAGCTTCTTTGAATAAGCTTTTCACACTGCTCATGTTTTCTTTCAAAATTAATAAATTTTCCTCTTTCTTTCAAGTTAAAAAAAGAAAATACTTTTTTGGGTACATTTTTTGTACCAATGTTAACTGATGGTTTGATGCAGTTTGGGTCCGTCAGTTTAAATATAATTTCAACAGGTGTATTTATACATTCTTATTTTCAATTGTTAGGTGGGAGCGAAATCACGTGCTATCTGCATAAACTTCTGCAATTGAAATATCCAGTTCATGTGAACGCAATAACCATGTCTCGCATAGAGGAAATTCTCCATGAGCATTGCTCCATAGCATTAGACTATCAGGACGAAATTAAGAAATGGGCGAATCCTGACTATTATGAAGCAAATGTGAAAAGGATACAACTGCCGTTTGTTCAATCCAACAGCTCTTCAGGCCTGACAGGTATGGACAGTCTTAATTATAAACATAATTCACGTTAAAATATCTTCACAAACAGATTATGATCTCACAACCGTTTTAGCTGAGCAACAAAAAGAGCGAAAGAAAGAAATGGCGCGCCGACTCCTTGAAATCAACGCGAGGAAAAGAGAAGAAAGATTGGCTGAAGACGAAGAACAGATGAACCAGCTCTTGGCAATCCAGGTTTGTTCGTTGTTTGTTAATCTAGTTTTGAGGTATTCTTTAACGTACTTTACAAGTACGCAAGTACGGCCTCGATGTTTGTGTATTATACATTTTTCAATAGCTAAGATTGGTGTTTGATAGGAAGAGATACAAAATATGTATTAATGTCTTTTTAATTTATTTTATGTGACTCACTCACACAATATTTTTTCAGGACTTAATAGAAGACGGCGACATGGACGAATTTAACGAAGCCATCAAAGGATTTGATATAAAAAGTTATGAGGACTTACAGGTAATGAAAGTTAAATTTATGACTAGCTATTATTAATAGGCTAGCTATTACTACTGCTATTATTGAGCCTGTCTTTGTTCTATCTAGCGGAATTTATTAATGGTCGTTTTCTTTTGCGTTGTTATGATTTTCATTAAGTGATGCGTCCATGATTATTATAATAGGTCTACTGTATAATAGGTCTTTTTTTCGCCTTTCTTACTGTTTGTCTTCAAAAAAGTAAATAGATAAATAATCCAACAAATCAAATAAATAAACAAATAACGTAATCGAAGATGAACTCCAACAGGTGATTAGGGTTGCTAAGTTTGTGACGTAGACATATCGTTGTTTAGAGGCAAATATCGAACCTGAACGCGCGCATAGAGAAGAATAGGCAACGCATCGCGGCCGCCGCCAACCCCGAGGAGATTCCGGAGCCGAAGTCTACAGGACGCGTGCAGCCGCCAACCGATCCCGAAGCATTCCAAGTGTGGCTCAGCGACACAAGAGCGAAGGTATGACTTAGATTTAACCATCATTGAAAGAAAGTTGCGCATATTTGTCGCTAACAATTCTTCAGCCGAGACGAGTTGCCTGGTTATTGTGTTTATCACCTACGACTGTTAGTGCCTAATTCTAAGCCATTACCACTAAATAAACCGTAAAAAACCCCAAAGGTTGTTATGCCACATCTCAAAGGACGAGACTACTTAAACTTCCTAAAGACTTCTTAAACTTGTGTGGATCGTATTGTGAGTGGAGTGAGTACATGCGGTGGTCAAATTGACTGTCTTATGTGTTGGTATATCGTGTTGCTGGGGTAATTGTGTAACAAGCCGATGTTCAACTGCAGTAGTACAAATCCTATCCAACTGCCGAAGGGGTTAGGACAGTGTGATGTCATATCCCCCTAAACTTTTCACAGCTGCATTGGAAGGTGTTTTCAAGTTTAATGACTGGAAAGGACTAGGTGTTAACGTGAATAGCGAATGCATCAGCCACATTCTACTTGACGACGATGTAGTGATGGCAGAATAGCTGGAGGACCTTAATACTATGCTCAATAACTATATGTCTCCCATCGGATGGGTCGCGAACATGACGAAGAAAATGTTGTTGTGAGCATTGCGCTCGAAGTTGTTGATGAGTATTTTTACCTAGGACTGTTAGGCACGCATAGATCCTTTACATGTAATAATTAGCATACAACAATTTCTATAACTGAACTGACAGTGAGTTTGATGACCGTTGGCTGAGGAGCGAGGACCGCCCTGGAACTCGGATGTACCTCGTGTGCGCGTTGTGTTGGCCTCGTGTTCCTAGTCGAGGACTACTTTTTCCCGGTCAACTGTACTCGTCCACTCGGCAGTACCGCGAGGTGCTGGGGCGGCGCGAGGCGAGGCGGGCGCGGCGCGCGGCCATGCTGCGCCGGCGCACCGCCGCGGCGGCGGAGCGTATGCGCGTCATCTCGCGGCTCGCCGCGGCCGGCGACGACTTCGGCACGCGCGACTCCGACTGGGACGTGTACAAGAGGTGCGCGGGAGTAGGAAAGAGTGAGAGAGAGAGAGAGAGAGACGCCCGACAACGCCACACACGCGCACCAACGCACGCACGCAGGCACACGTGCGCAGCGTTCATGCACAAACTACTGCAGTTCGCCGTTAATCAATAACAGTCGACGGCCATCGGTCTCACGGTCCGCATGCCGGATTCCGTATAGTTTCATCAGGACTCGTTTGCCTTTGAAGATACCGTGAGATATTAAGGTTGTTTTCTTTACTAAAATTAATTAAAATTTAAATTACATTTTTATTATTTACGTATTATAAACTGATTACGTTAGTAATAAATGGTAAATAAGTTAATGTTTATAAATCAAAAAGATCAGTTTACAATACTTACATATATTGGTACAGGTATAATAGTCTTATTTTAGTACCCAAATCTATCTGTAGATTGACTTTGGAGACCGACCGTAAGGTAATAAGATCCGTTCGGAATGTTCCAGTATCAGCCGCGAGGCCGACTCTGACTCGGAAGCTGACGGCGAACGCCTCGTTGAACTCGAGGAGGCGCTTCGCGAGTACGAGCCCCAGCAGCCCAGCAACCAGCACCACCAACTGCACCTCGCTATAGAGCCTATCAGGTGATTGTTATTCGCCCGTACATTTCTTTAAACCTCGTCTGCAGTTTTCTTCAAGTAGTTTTGTTGTTTTTGTCCGTTTCCGTCTGAAATTCGGAATAAAAAGTATACTCAATAATATATCAGTCGCATGTTCGATAGATAAGTTGTGAACAAATAACAATTCAATCCATCGGGTAGTGTTTAAGGTTCCGTACCCAAAGGGTAAAACGGGACTCGATAATAAGAAGACTCCGCTGTCTGTCACCAGGCTGTATCTCATGAACCGTGATCGACAGTTGAAATTTTCACAGATGATGTATTTCTGTTGCCGCATAAACAAAAAATATTTAATGGAGCTCCCATATAACAAACGCAAGGCGGTTGCTAGGCAACCTATTCCAATTAGTTTATTATTTTCTGTGTTCAAACATTGATTGATGGTACGGAACCCTCAGTGTGCAAGTCCGTCTCTCACTTGACACCATTTTTGTGGACACACACGAAAGGTTGTGAGTTTATTGAATTGTTGGTGCGTCTTTTACGTAACTTCTCAAGGCCATATTATACAAATATGGTGTATTTCACCGGAACAATATTTGTTTTGTTCCGACGACGACTTAATCAAAGCGCCATCTATTGGAAGAACGTAACAAAATTCCCTGACCGAGACGCATTCATCATTACATGCGCCATATATGTATTTATTTCAGAGCTCCCGAGTTAATGTTTCAACCGTCTATGATGGGTAACTTGGAAGCCGGATTAGCGGAGAGCATGGAGTATGTGTTCAAACATTTTAGCACCGAAGATCAGTTACTGTTAGCCAACAATGTATTCCTCACTGGCGGCTGCTCACAATTCCCGGGTACGATTTGTTTTAATTGCATAGCTGCTTAGAAAAGCGCTCTAAACGTGTACAAGCTATGAATACGTCACCTCTCAACGAATTCTAAATTGCAGGTCTGAAAGAGAGATTGGAAAGGGAGCTTCTCGAGATGCGACCGTTCCAGTCGACTCATAGAGTGGTTGTGGCTAATAGCCCGAGTCTCGACGCTTGGTACGGCGCTAGGGATTTCGCGGGCAGCAACGACTTTGAGAATTGGTGCATAACCAAGGAGGAGTATTACGAAATGGGCGGTGAATATTTGAAGGAGCACCATGCCAGCAACAAATATTACAAGAGTCCTGCGCCCATAGTTGATAACACACTGGCGCCCGCCGGCGATGCCAATGTAGTTAAAGAGGAAATAGTTATCGATTGTTAGTCGCCTCGTCCAACACACTGAATTTTTACTATTTTAGGAATAAAATTATAAACATATTAAATTTCTATCTGTACTAAAAGAGACCTATGAGTATTTAATAATATATCCATATATGTATATTTATATAGTATTCTCTTGTGTCCTTTCATGTGAAGCATTTTTTCAATAGTACGGGCTAAAATTTTTGCCAGACGCCTGGTGGGTCTTTTTGTGGCACTTGTCTGTTTTGGGATTCTCGAACCCGCGACCCCTGGCGCCAATTTTAATTTAGACCCTCGCATCACAGACGAAAAACGTGATGAATACTGTGATCTGATCTTGGCTAGTTAGTTCTAGTTTCGTTTCGACATCAATAAAATCACAATTACAAAGTATTTTCCTCAACATTCGAAATTTGAGAATTTTAACGTTCCTCAGAAATAATTTAAAATTATAAGTTAAGCAAAAATTCCTTCATACTAGTGGACTTTCGTAAAAACGGGGGTTACAAAGTTTTTGCTTCACGTATTAATATATAGATTTTATCGAAAATCTGGCCATTATAATGGTTTCTGGAACATAATTATGTTCTTAAGTGGTGTAACAAAGATAAATAGACCAAGTCTTACCTAACAATTACTTACGTTTAACGGTGGTGAGACTAACAAGTCTCACTAACAAGTGATGGCTATTTTAGATACCTATTATCCATTCTATAGAATTTCTCCTTACCGGTACATTCCTTGGAATTAAGAAACTGGGATGATTTATTAGTACTACTACTAGTTGTGATATTGAATGCACTCAAAACTAAAGTTGTCAAAAAAGCTTACAATCTATCATATATAAAGCCAATAATAATATAAGTGTAAATATAGAATTAAACATAGGTCCAAATATTATAATATAATATATGACATACAGGGCGATAAATTGTGCCAGTTTCGTTTCTAACTTATTCATTTATGACGCACGGTATCTAGGTAATATTAAATCACTTGTAACAAAACATGATTTTAAAGGAGTTACATGAACGTGTGGCATACTATGATTCAGAAATTGCCTTGCTCATTTTTGAATCATTGTTTTCACACGTTCTGATTATACAATATTCAGACAATATTTCTCGACAATATTTCAGACATTTTGGCATACAGAGACAGTCGTGTTCATTTGCTCGCTATTATTATGCAACTTAATCTAATTTCACCAATTGCCGTAATTTGAATGCCTCAGCTTCTTTGAGCTAGTGCCTTAGGTAACTCGTACTTCATATGATATAAATGGATAAATAGCAACGACATTATAGGTGGATAATATACGAACCGGAAAACGTAGCGTTGGAAGGCCTCCCTTTGGGTCGACATCATAAGAGTCGTGGGCAACCGGCGGATGCAAATGGCAGTGTCGTTAGTTGTGGCGTTCTATGATGGAGGCCTATGTTCAACAGTAGATGTCTTGCGGCTGATGATGATGACATTATAGGTTAGTCAGTTTGTTGTCGCTCTATTCAGGCAAAGATGTTAAATAGGTAGTTAATTTAATCCCAGAATTCAGAAAAGCGCTTAGAGGAACTCACTTAGATTGAAATCTGTGATCTACTCCAAATGTAAAGTCGAAGTCACATTCTATTGGAGTAGTAATCTATATTTTTTTATATATTTTAGATAGACTAGATTGTTTACTAAATAAATCACATGAAAACTGACCATTGTATTTACCCCTCCATCTTGGTTGTTTACTTTTGTTTTCTTGAATAATTATAAATAATGTTATCACTGTACTGCCATTGACAGACAATAACACGCGGGCAATAATAACACGGAATGCTATATAACAAGAATGATTAAACAATACACCCATATTATTTGCTGCCGATGAACTCTAAATACATTGCGCTCTGTATGGAAGAGAAAACATGTAATAGGAACTTGGGAGGCTAAAATAAAAGAAATATTTAGCCACAAATATCATGGCACGTTTATTTTTCTCCACTACATGGCGACTTCTAAAAAAATCGTGACTTGTTATTTTGCATTTCATATAGTTTTTTTTATAAGAACTCCGAAACGAGCTCTAATGAATAATATTACAATGTATACTTTCCATAAAATTAAATAAACTCTGTTTTTATTTTGATCTCAATATAAATCACTATGAACTGAAAAAAAATTAGAAACGCTTTGTTAGTTAGTTCGCTAATTATATTGATTGATGATACTAATATAATTAAGAGTACATTTAAAAAAATCACATTAAAGCATATACATAATGCTGACTACATAAAACCCTTACAGCCTCTTTACTTTTGCATGAATAAGTTGTATACTTCCATAAAAATAACGCTAAACAATTAGAATAGGATTTTCAGTTTAAGCTGATGAAGACACCTAAATATTGATCTATTAAAGCATCAATAGCTAAGATACATGAGTTTAAGATGTCTTTGGAGCAGGTTATTTATTAATCATGAACTAGCCATGATTATTTTTAATAAAATCTGACTCAATTGAAATGATAGACAAGATTTGTTTGTAATTATTCAGATTATTTCTGCTCCAGTTTTTAAAATCTATCATATCTTATTTTTTTACCAGTGGTAAAGTTCATGCAGGAATAGTACCACTGTACTAGACAATAAATTTAATAATATAATTTTATTAATTAAACATTGGATTCCATTGCGACTGTAAATAAAATAGTGCTTAAATACTTTGGTAAAAACCCAATATCTTAGACTATTATATTAAAAGTAGAAAAATTACTTTCCCAAAAATAGATTTTACATAATTATATTGTAAATAATTTTTAGGTGTTTTTTTATCAGCTCCTTAAAATAAAACTAATAATAATTTATCACATCTTCAGACTATAACAAAAAAAATTGTAAAGAAGGCTGTAAAGGAGATATATTCATGTGCAATGTAATACACCACAGTTAACAAATCTAACTTATTTAAAAATATAAACTAGCCTAAAAATTTTAACAATAAAAAGAAAAACAGTTGCAGTTAAAATATTGGTCATTGAAATTCTGTAGAGCTATAACTAAATGACCGTATCAAGTCTATCATGCCATGATGTTTGTTCATTGAATTTTAATATAATTGGAATTAAATTTATGTAAAATACTCCAAAACTTTTTTAGTATGGCTCATAGCCCGTATTTATATATAACTCTACAAATCGTAAAAAATCAGTGACTTAGAAATAGCTCTCAGTATAAAAAAAAAAGAAGTTAAAATCCTTAGGCTGTACTCTCGTATGATTATAAATGTAAGCAACGCAATATGTTGGCAAAGCGGAAATTCGCGTAAATCTAACGATACAATACAACTAAATATTTATGTATCTTAGACATAATGATTACACAAGGCTCACTGTTAATGTTATTTGCTCATAAAACTACTACAAAGAAGTAAACATGTCGACGGTGCGAAGTCGCGGCCACCGAGACTAGTACTCTGTCTAGACAAGGACAATAAAAACATACATATTATATAATCAGGGGGTAAGGATATGTACGATTTCGTTAATCGAATTTTTTTCTTCGCCAAAACATGAAGTACAATACGAAAGCCATCGTTGGTCCGTAACCACAACCGATCGCCGATGTTGAAATAAACAACTTGAACGAAATATAAAATTATTTCATTTTTTTTTGCTGAGTATTCTTAATGGTTTGACGGCGTGGATTCTTTTATTAATTCAGTCTTTTCCTACGGTCGAACAAAAAATTGTAGAGAAAGTGAAAATATAAACTTATACCACTTTTATGATAACGTAAATTCAAAATACATAGTTCAGTACTTCCTAAGTATAGTAACTAACAACGGTATGTAAAATAGTTAACAGCAAAGACCAACAAATTGCTGGTTTGTCCGATATTGGTTATTTGTGAATGGACATTCGCAATTTATAATTCTTCGCCGATTTATGAGGGGTCCTAATCTTTTACCAAATATACTCCTACCACTAATCCACGTTATATGATGTGGTTTTACATCGAGAGTTTATCTCGTAACTAAAAAGGACCTAGGGTTCTCGACTTCCTCTCTTGACTCTATCGGCCAGTTTCAATATTCTATCTACATATAGATTTGGTTATGAAAGTAGAATATTGACGTAAGTATTTTGGAGCTGATGTTAAATACCTATCGCTAAATCTATCCTTACGATAGGATATTGAAACCGGCCGTATAAGGACTTAAGACAAAAGTACAATTAATGTAAAAAAAATATTAAGGATAAACAATGCTAAAGACAGCGAACATATAACAATAAAATATACTATAAATTCTAGGTGAAAAAATACATCGCCCTAGGCAAGTCTCAGAGAGGAAGAAAAGATACAATATACATCTATATGTACCTAGTTTGCTATGTTGGTGTTTCTATTTTCCATTATAATGGATAATATAATGGCATCAACACTGAGAAGCACCGTAGACGTGGTGCTCGACATTGTTGCTACATCTATTGATAAAACATGGTTTTTATTTTCATCAAGTTGATCATTGAAAAATGGTAGTTGTAAGGTTTACACTACTCATTAACCCAAAGTTCTAGTTTCTCTAAATAATACTGTACTCAATGGCTTGGTAGAAACTTAATAAGAACGCCGTTAATTCCAAAAACACGGTTTAATGTTAAAAAACTCTACTCCACTACTTTTTATTTCCTGGGCAACTAAATGCATCCGTCATGTTATTTTGTCTTAAAGTACCGTGTACATACATCTTTTATTAAAATGATAAATGAGATATTGGCCTATTTTCTCGTGTTTCAAATACAGAACTATCAAAATATAAAAAAATATTGAGGACTATTAAACAACATTCATATGTATATACTATTATTATTATTATCATAATCATGTATATCTACAAGGAAATTTTGATTTTTATTACCCAAAGTATACTTCTGCTCTAAATACTCTATGATTAATTCCAATTATGTTATTTTATCACTTTCGACTTTCATTTTACCTTTGTAGAGACATCAAACACGTCTACAAA